ATAGCCCTTAAATAGCCAGAGCTGTCAATCTAGGCCACTGGAGTGGACATGAATTTTGTGCCTGCTGAAATGTAGAGGCCTACTTGTACAGGTTCCACTCCAGTGGCCTAGATTGACAGCTCTGGCTATTTAAGGGCTATTGAGCGCCGGTACTGGTATCTTCGCCGGTGAACGATACAGTCTCCAGCCGAGGTACATTGTCTTTGACTTTGTATTTGAGGTGAGTAAGCTATCGCTCCCTCACTGTATCTAGTATACCTTGAGATTACCTTTTCTATAGTGTGCCACACACTGGAATTGGTAAGTACAGGGCACCGTAGTTTCCTTTTTAAGCTTACTAGAGCTTGCTGGACTGTTTTAGCCTTACGGTGGAAAAATAGTGTGCGACATACGCAATAGGCTGGAGTGGACATGAATTTTGTGCCTGCTGAAATGTAGAGGCCTACTTGTACAGGTTCCACTCCAGTGGCCTAGAAGATCTAGAAGGGCTATTGAGCGCCGGTACTGGTATCTTTGCCGGTGAACGATACAGTCTCCAGCCGAGATACATTGTCTCACTGTCTCACTGTCTCACTGTCTCTCTCTCTCATCTCTCTCATCTCTCTCATCTCTTTCTCATCTCTCTCATCTCTCTCTCCTCTCTCTCTCTCTCTCTCCTCTCTGTCTCTCGTCTTTCCGTCTCTCTTCTCTCTCTTCTCTCGCAGGGGGATCCGGGCAAAGAGCCACATATAAAGGACTCTTCACCCCTGCCTCCAAAAAGAGCGCCGTGTTTTTTCCTACCTCGCTGCCCTCCACTTTCCCATTCTGGAGCGCTAGCTTTCGCCCCCCCCCCTTGGCCTCAAGTATGGATTTTAACATCTTTCCCTCCCCCCCGGTCCCGATCTTTCGCCTTCCCCAGCCTTCCCGCGCCGCCCCACCCGCCAACCGGAGCTCGACTCGCACCAGGTGCCTTTGCTGCGGGAGTGCATCGGCTCGAAGGAGTGGGTCGCTGGCGGCGAGAGCGAAAGCGAGGGCTGGAACGGACGAACTCGGAACGGACGAAGGGCTGTTGGAGTGCCCAAGCAAACCGGTTTGGGGGCTGAGTTCGATGCCAATAAAAAATGATGGGCGCGACTGCGGTCTCGGGCAGGAATTCGAGCCGCAAAGCCATCAGCTCAGATGTCAAACGTCACAAAACCTGGAACATTCCATTCGACCATGCAGCATTCCGTGTCCGTCTTCCAAGGCGAGAAATCTCCCAGGTGCGGGTCGCCAGGGGAGGTGGGGCAAGGAGGTGGGCGTGAAGGGGGTCCGTTTTGTGAGAAGCGGGCCGCGGTGAGAACTGTGGAGGTAGACTTTTTAGATATAGAAGATGTATCAAAATAACCTTCCAAAAAGAACAGATATCGATTCATCAGGCTTGGTTGGGGGTGGTTTATTCATCAATCAAGACTAAGAGTCATACTATACAAAAAGTAACTGCTCCGCAGCCTGTTGTGAAGAGCTTTTTACAAGCGTCCTGAGGGTTCCTCCTGGCGCCTACAGTCTCCAATCACCTGAGAAGGTACTTGGATCCCTAATAGGGAGTACTATTATAGACTCTTATATAACTCTTATGTTCATCGAGTTTTCATCCGGCCCTACCAGAATTCGGTGACCCGTCGACCGGTCTTGTCGCCTCGCTTTTCGACAAACCGGTCAGGTCACGTCGCTGAGAGGACCGGCTCGGGTGACCGGTGGAGTCGACCTCCCGCACGGGACGAGCTCGTCCCGTGCTGGGATGGTGCTCAGATGGCCGCGGTGCTCGGCTGGCCGCGGATGCCGCCTGCAAGCGATGTACAGCGGAGGGGCCAATCGAACAGAGTGGAAAGAAGAGGAGGAGGGGCCAATCGAACCGCGTGGTTCGAAGCACACATTTACTTAAAGAAAAATAGGACACCATGTTCTAAAAGACGGAATCTGTTCGTGTTTTATCGAAGTTCCAGATGACAACGATATAATAAAAATAATATCTGTGCACTTGTGACGGGGTATTTCAAATCGTGGTCTTTTTTCTGCTCACCATTTGCCATGGAGAGTTTCCAATGGCTGGACATCTGGCAGCACAGCTGCTTCCCGAAGGGGCGACAAAAAGCGAGGAACCTGGAGTACGAATCTTCTGCTCTTGAATGGCCAAAAAGGGGAAGGAAGAAAGAAATGAAACCAGAAAGATCCTCAGAGTTTCAAAGACAAGGCATGAAGACGAACAGTGAAACAAGAGGAAGAAGAGGAAGAGACAATTTAACAAATAATCCATGACCAAGATGCTTTCCACCAGGTCTTTGAGGAGAAAACAGGTCGATAGGTTGACATGTGACGCTCCCCCCCGCAGCACCGTTTGTGTCCTGCAGATTGGCTCCAGCACATCATAGACATCAATAGACCCTGATAGCTTGATGTAGGGAGGTTTCAGATGAGATGTTTGTTGGATGTTGGCCCTACTCAAGTCATTGATGAAGGCTGCCTTCATGGTCATTCAACCTCACATGGTGCGCGTTTGCGCGCACGAATCGATCTGGGCCCTATGTACCTCCACTAGCGACACACCACCGGGCTTCGGGAAGGGCTTGGTCACTGGCTCGGGAGGAAGATACGTGGGGCACATCCCATTTTCCTGAACAAGCGGTAAAAGAATACCTGAAATAAGCATGGAAGTGGAGTTCACCAGCTGTTTGTAGAGGAAAATCGCATCCACGCTCCACTTCCATGATTTCACCAGGTATAGCCTGTAGTCCCCTCAAAGAACTTATAGATGAGCCTGCTTTTTCTCGTAGAGCGCAGGACAGTGAACTCAATCACCTTCGCAGAAATCCGATTTCGATCCACGTGATTGCCATCGTGATTGCCATCGGCATGGTCAATTCCCGCACTTGGGCAGCACTTCAGGGAGCGAATGACACACGCCTATACACTACCCACTCCATCCACGATCCTCCATCTATAGAAAAGAAGGTTCAAAGAACAAAGGACTCCTAACAAAGGACTGAAAGGGTGCGAAGGGAAAAAGAAGTTAGTGAAGTCTGCAGATTTGATAAGCATTTCTCACCTCACCTTCCCTGTAGAACTGGACATGTTCTTGACCATTCTTCACCCGGGCAATGCACGAGAGTCTGGGCGCGTGCAAGACGCCGCCCAGGCAAACGCGGAAGCATTGTCCCGATCGAGTGGCGTGAGCATGAGGCGTGACCGGACGAAGAAGGCAAAAGATGATGAGGATGACATAGGGATCCATGATCAACCATTAACAATAAATTTCCCAATCAACAAGGCCTCCAAGCAAGAAAAATCAGCAATGGCCTCCAACCGAATGAGTGATGACCTCCAACCTAGTCAGCGATGGCCTCATGATGTGACATGAGTCCATGGATCCTTTGTTTCTCCAAGCTCTTTCCAAGGCACCCTTGAGGAATGGCATCGTTGGGGGCTCCTGGACAGACCCGACCACCTCGTTACGAACCACGGCTCTGTCTCCGCGCGGCGGCGGGCACCACCCGAGGCGCTCTGGGACTTCTCGGCAGCGCGCCACGGAACGCCGCGGCCACGGCCGGAGGCGGGTGGCGACTCGGACGGCCATGAGGCGAAAGAAGGACGTCCTGGCATAGCGCGGCAGGTTTGGGTGGAGAAATGGAGATCGATAAGTTATCTTAAGATGTAACAAGATAACAAGGAACCATGCGTTTGTGTTATGTACTTTTTGCTCGACCCTGCGGGCTGGGAGGCCCTTCAGACATTGCATTTGGAACAGTATTTGACTTCCATGCACTGCATTGAAGAACATTTGCACCAAGAGGGAGGGGGTACCATGTGTGACTGTGAGAAGAAGAAACAGTGGCAGATTCCAGCCAATGCGGATGCTGTAGTGATACCATTGATCAAATGTCAGAGGAACAACTTGCCTTCAGACCGATGGTCAGGAACCCTCCGCTGAAAAGGAGCTGCGAACTCAGATGAGTTGACAGGAAGGACTCACGGGCCGAAAGAGAAACCCAAAGGAATAGGTTACAGCTTCAACGTCGCCCTGAGAACCCCCCGGGCCCTGGAAAGGACAGGCTTTCGCCCAGGCCACTCGGAGAGTCCGATGGTGCCGAGTCGGGGTCCAGGTCTTTTTGGTATTTAGGGCTCAAGAAGAACAGTCTCTTCGTCTATCTTCGTCTTATAGGTCTGTGGTTTCAGAGGTTCGATGGCGCAGACCCCAAGATGTCCGTTCGACAGATGGGGGTTCATATAAACTATCGACATTGGGGTCTGTGCCATTGGTCCTCTCAATCCACTATAGGACCTGGGGAGGAGAAAAAAAAATGATCGCCGAACAGCGGCGGTCCTTCGAGGCAGCGGCGCGCTCAACTCATGCAGGAGCCGGAGGCTTAGCCACGCCAGTCTCGAGCAGGAAGTAGAGGCCGCACCAAAAGCGAGGCAAACGAGGTGGCCAAAAGAGATCCCATGTCTGCCGGTTTGCCCTCGGCCCTCGTTGGCAGTCTCGCACTACCGGTCACCAGCGTCCCTTGAACCTCAGGTTCCGCTCGCGCTATGCCGAGATCTGCCACCAGGTGCCGCCGCGACCGATCGCCTCGAGCTGCGCTGCACTCGAGCTGCGCTGGCACCGGAGGTCTTGGGGCTTGCAAAGCCGCCGGCGGATTCGATTGATCGCTGGCTTTTGGAGCAACTGGCCCAGAGAGGAGGTGGGAGCGTTGGATGAAAGCGTGCATGGTGAATCTTGACAATGCAGCTTGATATCTCGATCAATATCTCTCATATTGCTTTTGTGTTTGTGTGTGTGTTGTGTTGAAGATGGACCACAACCAAGATCATCCAAGCATCCGAAAGCCACGACCACACCCCATCACTTTGTCTCGTCTCCTCATGTCCGGTCCATGGGCTAATGGGTCAATTTGTTCCTTGTTCACCTACTGAAAAGACCGCGGTGATCCAGACTGCGGTCTGGTCTATTAGATCTCTGCATGGTTTCGAACCTGCCCTTGGGATGATTAGGCGTTGCGCGAGAACGCGCTGGATTCGCATAAGAATGAGAATCTTTGGGACGATTGAAGCCGACTTCAATTGTTCTTAAACATCCGCAAAAACCATGGTAAACTCCGTTCTTTTGTTCGGATTCCGAGATTCGCGATCCCGAAAGCCGCGAGACTCGACCGAAGGTGGGCGCGATCCGCTGGTGCCACGCCCACGGATCGCGGTGCCTTCGGCCAAAAGGGTCGAAAATCTGGGGGATGGATGCAGTTCTGGACTGGTCAATGTATATCAGTTTGGGTTTGTCCCAGTATCTATACCTGCAACAGTCGGTAAACAACTACATATATCACATTACGCTGGTTTCAGAGTAGATGGCACAGACCCCAATGTCGGTGGTGTATATGGACCTCCATTAGTCTAGGATATCTTGGGGTCTGTGCCATCGAACCTCTGAAACCACAGTACTATATAATACTCTTTTAGAGAAAGGCCTGCTACTGAAGCATCCACATCCACAGTTGCAGGGAATGGGATACTGTCCACTACGTATGAGTTCGGTTCGACCCCCCCGGTCTTCCGAAGCCCTGGAAGGTTCGGAAGATGGAACCACACGACATCGATCGATGTGTGTTTAACCGTGTGTTCAACCGTGTTTCCAGTGAGTTCTTCGTTGCTTTGTGATTTGACTGCATCCAGTGATGGTTTTGAAGTAAGGAGGGCTCCTCCTTCCCCTGCCAGCCTCAGGTCCAAAACTGCAATAATATTGTATGTCAGTGCACAAAAACGTGCGCATGATACTGATTCCTTTCGGTCTAGCTGCTGTCGATGGGTTTGTCTCGTCGACATGAGCCCAAGAACAAGAATCCCTTTGTGAAGACTCTTTGGTTCAACCACGAAGAAGGATTGGTCCCTTGTCGTTGTCGGTATTCGCATGTTTTTTTGCTTTCCAGGCGGCCTTTGCAATCAATAAACCTCAAGAAAAACTTGTGTTTGCTCGCCTGTTTGCACTGACTTTGCGGACATAAAGAAGGCAAAACCTTGGAGACAACAAGGTTTCGGGAACAAACCTTGAAAGAAGCATGCAGCATGCTTCTTGGACACCTGCGCAACCACTCAAAGGGAAAGAACACAGTTCATTTCTCCGACATGTGCGGTTAAGAAACGCACACAATGCTTTTGGGTGTTGGCTATTTCATGCTATTTCCCATTTTTCTCGGGGCAGATGTGCAATCATAGCCTTGCCTCCGAGGAATCGTCTCGGGTTCTTGAACGGGAGCTGTTGGCAGAGGCGCAAGAAAGATGGAGCTGCAGCTGGCGGTCCGGGTGTTTTCAAAGCTCTAGAGCGCCATAGTCTCAGAAGGTTTTACTTGTTGCAGGCCTTGTGCAGGTTTGGACTCTTTTGATTGCCCCAAATTCGGGTTCAACAAGGCTTTTATGAAAGAAGGTCTTGACGCAACGTTTTGTTCAAACGCTCCATGTGTGTGTGTGTGTGTGTCAACGAACTTTAGTATAGACATGTATATAGGCCTGGTGTGGACAGCTTTCTGCTGCACCTTCTATAAATTTTCATGCTTGCAAGACAAACTTAGTGCTTTCAAGCCCTGCGGCACCAACCACCATGTTCGACCAAGTGTCATTCCTTTCCTTGCTACTATTTCGATCACCTTCGTCAAACTCGTTTTGGTTTTCCAAAGGGCTGTTGCTTGGTCAAGCCCTGCCCCAACCACCCCCAGGCGACGGAGGAACCGAACCCAACCGAACGATGCAGCCCGTCGCAGGTGCCCATGCGATGCCATTCTCGGGTGACCGGAAGGCGGAGAGAGAGCGGGCGGGCCATTGGGAGTGAGAGGAAGGACCCGTTCCTCAGAGCTTGGCCCATTCCCATGGGAGTTTATGGGACCACCTGGTATTCGAGTCTCGTAGCTTCTTGTGACGCCACTAGTGATTGCTCCTAGTAAGGTGCCTCGTTACTAGTGGCTTCTTCTTACTGGTCAGCCATATTATATTGATTAGTTAGGGTTGGTTGACTTGGGGTCAGGAAAATCTGGCTGTGGCATACATGGTGACTGGGTTCGGAGGTGAGCGGGCCTCGCTGCAACGAGTGGTTGTTGACCTGTGACTTGACTTGTTGGGGCTTGATCTTCAACTCGTTTGAAGAGAATTCTGCAAGAAAAATGGAGGGAAGCACGATCTGATCCAAATGTCTATGGACAATTGCTGATCATCCAAGGGGGTTCAGTTCAGAAGAAGAAAAGACAGGAAAGGCTCTTTCGGATATGGAAGCTGCTCTTGACGTGTTTCTTTTTCTGTGACGAAGCTCGCTGGAAGGCTGGCCTCGGAGCAACTGGCCAGGTTCGGACCTCGCCCTGTGAGTTTCACTCGTCCAAGCATCGGCCACTCCGTACAGAGCGTTTGGACAGCTTGATTTCACCCAGGTATGTGAAGAGTGCCAGGGATTGGCTCCAGCGGCTACAGGAGCACCCGACTTGCTAGTTTTTTCATATGTCACTGAGATGTCCCTTCCATGACCGTCGCATGGAAGGGACTTCATTCAAACAAATTAAGCTTTCTTCGGCCACCCCCCGTGCCCGAGTTGGGTGACGTGAAAATGTCAAGCCTGTCAAGCTTAACTCCAGTTCAGCATCGGGAAGTCCATACAGATTGCTGCCTTGAGATGTGGCGCATCTTCGCGCGCATGTGGGTGTGTGTGGTTGGCGAACTGAGACTAACCCATATTTCATCATGAATGCCCACCAGTGGGCAACGTGAATTCCAATCTTTGGCTCATGCGAATGAAGTTCGGGGGTCAGGGGGTCTCTCGCAAAAAAAAAGCACGAAGATGGCATGATCAAGCTGCAGTCGAGCCTCCATTCCCTGTGTCAACACTCAGTTCTGGATGGTGGTTATAGTCAGTCCTTCGTTCTGGAGAATGGAGGTCCAATGTTTTGGTGTCGTCCTTGGCGACAGCAAGGCATGTTGGCGGCTCACAGGTGACAAGAGTGTGTGTGAGCAGCAGAGTGGAGCAGCTTCACGGAGCGAAGATCACGTGTTTCACGGTTTCGCAGTTCTTACTGTAGATGGTTTAGCGGAGCTCTTCATCTCTCCATGCGATTACTGAGGGTATAGTTACTGGGGGTAGTATCTTACGTTCACCCTGTGCGCCCCCTGAGAGAGAGAGAGAGAGATAGGGAGGGACGCAGGTTGATGGACAATTCTTCGCAGTTCTTCATGGTTGAACTCTTAGAGATCTTGGGGCATCTTGGAACCATGGTCCTAACCACGGACTTCCTTCCAAACCGACGAAGCTCTTCCTTTAGACCAACAGCTGACTCAAGTAGACCTACTTTCGGAACCTGAATGACTCCTCGCAGACGCCATGGCGGAGACCTTGCGGAAGCCGCTGAGGTGGCGCTAAACACATGGGAAACATCGATGATATCATGGTAAGGAGTGGAAATAGATCCAGAAGTGTCGCTTTCAGGGTGCAGAAGCAAAGATGCCATACTTCCTAAGACCTTTCGACTTCGGTCACAGACTGTATTATGAGGCTTACGCCTGACAGCCGGGCGCCGGCCTATTTGGGTTTGGGTATGTGCAGGGCTGGGTCCTCTGTCTCTCTCTCTGTCTCTCTCTTTCTTTCTCTCTTTGAGACTTGGTGGGGCCTATATTGAGCAAAGTTAAGCTATCTGGTGCGCATCTTGGCCCTAGGTTGGGCCAAGTTGAGCCCATGTGGTCTATGTTAGGTACATCTTGGGCCCAAGTTGAGCCTATGTTGGGCCTAGGTCGGCCTATGTTAGGCCTATGTTGGCCTAGGTTGGGCCTATGTTGGGCCTATGTTGGCGTATGTTGGCCCCATGTTGGCATATGTTGGCCCTATGTTGAGCCATCTTGGAGGCTATGTTGGGCATATGTTGGCTATCTTGGGCCTATGTTGAGGAAATGTGAGGCAACTTCTGTGCCCAACACACACGAAATGTCGATTAAGCCTGTCCGCGCGGCGCGCATAACCGACACCACCGGTGCCCTGTTAGGCGCAAGTCATGTCCGCCGAAGGCCACGAAACACTGTAAAACACGATGTTTTTGAACATTTTTTGAACATCCTCCGCAAGATACATATAAATCTGTCGACCGGATTCGGGCGGGGGTCGACACGGGGTATAACGGAGGTCCAACAAAAGGGTCGGCGGCAGGGGCGGCGAGCGTATATAACCTTCGGTTACCACCGAAGGCCTCCGGCAAGGACACGGGCCCGTGGCCGGCGCCCGGATTTACCAGGCTACCGTCTGCAGCCGCCGACCCCCAAGGGATAGAACCTTAGCGCTAGCCTTGCTCTATGTTAGCCTTAGCCTTAAGCCTTAGCCTTAGCCTTAAGAGTGCAGACCCAACCCAGCACCACCAAAGCAGGTACCCAAAAAGTCGACTTTTTGGGTACCTCCC